ATAAACACACACGAAATCCAGTCTGGTAAGCATCATAAACAAGCCCAATAACTTTGACCAAGGAAGAGGGAAAAAAAAAACACACAAGGCTTTAGCCGAGCCCTCCGGTCGGAAACACCGAGACCCAAAACAGCTCCCTAGCGCAACCGTTTACAAACAGAAAAAGAAAAAGGATATGAAGTGACCACTTAAAGTCCAATAGGCCCCACTAAGGAGTGGATCTCAGGGACCCAATCGACGGGACAGCAGTCAATCAGAGTGTATCGTATTGTACATGACGCTAGTAAGGGATGCTCACATTAGCGTCTCGGGGAGAAAAGGAACGTTTGCCACTGATGCAGCTGAGACACTTGTTTTTCTTCTATATATCTCACTTTCAGCTTTAATGTATAACATAGCTTAGATCTATCGATTTTTTTTACATTTTAAGTATCCAAAAGCCGAACTCGTCGCAGTGGCCTCTCAAAAAGTGATGATGCCATTGGGGAATAATACACTTCTATGGATATTCGTATGTCCCGACGTGTATATGATGACATCCTTCTCCTTATCCACCCTCTTAACTTTCGTTGATATGATGATGATTGGATGGGAGGATATTATTGTTTATCCTCCGTACAAAGTACTCTGTATATTGTACATCATAGCCCAATCTCCTCCCTCGGGATACTTAGCATCCAGCAAGGGGTTTCATAGTACTGGGTACGAGCATTGCTGCCTAGGTGTGATGATGTAGGTCTTGGTACTTCGTATTGAGGGAAAGATCATTCCTTGAATTTAACCCTGCGATCTGTATATTGTAGAGTATATAGTGACATATGTCGCACTTATTCTCTGATGATCTCCATTTTCATGACATCGACCACTCCGGCCCAGGGGATCGAGACCGTCAACCATGGAAATAGCCAGCGCATTGTTACGGCCGAAGGGAACAATTGCTTTAGCTCGAGGTGTATCTGATCGCATCCATTGGAGTATTCTTCGAAGAGAATATTCAGAATATCGAGAATACTGTACAGACCGTACCTACATTGTACAGTATGCAGATGCACGGGAATTCTCCGCACCTCCACAACCGCAGGTACTACTAATGTCCACTTCTGTCTTCTAGCGCACATAGGTACTTTTTACGTTTACATTCTATCTACGGAGTGTGTCCAATATATATTGTACTGAGGGTTTAATCCTACAATGTAGATTATATGGGTACATGTATAGATTGTTATTTCGAGTAACGTCAATACCCGGTATAGTATCTCCAATCTAAACGGAACACATCCAAGTGTAGATCTACCAATGAAAGTATGCCTCGATAACTAATGCATCAATATCCAAACCTTACCTGAAGCCATTATCCTTGGTTCCAACTTCCCCCACCACATCAGGACCAACCCCCGGGGACCATTGCATCAAACAAAGAACAGATGCATCCAAAACACGGAATAACCCCTGCAAAAGATCTGCACCTTGCATATAATCAATGATGGAGATTGGTAGCAAAACCCGTTTTTGATGCGGGACAGGATCGATGTCATCAGGCCAATACCACCCGTGGAAAAAAATGCCGAGTAGTTACTAGTACATACTATGTATGTTGTATGTCGCTCTGCACTAGCAACAGCGATCTATGTGCCTACTACCTACCTAGGTATCTAACACTCAGCCCTGGAGGGTGGTGGTCAGTTTTACTCGATCAAGAAGCGGCAAGGGATCTAAAACGGAAAGGGAAAGCCATGGAGGCCTAACATCCGATGTATATCTACCATCGTACAGTTCATGAAGTCCAAACGATCTTTTCCTGTGGCGATAAATGTAATGTGATAGGATATTAGGGCTCTATTTTCCTCTAGAAAAGGGAACATCACTCCTTAACAGGATCTCATTTAAAGAAGAAGCGGGGTATTGAGTTGGTCTCATCGTCATCGAAGGTTCTCTATAGACATGTCATCCCGATATTGCCAGGATATATCATAGTTGCTTCATACAGATATTGGAAAAACTTGATTTTACATGCTCGTAGGCCCAAAATAACCAAGGGTCAGGCAATACCGGAAGAGGAAATTCCTCTAGTCTTTAGAAGATAGAAAAACACCCCGAGAAGTTATCTTCCCTAATTCTGGCGGATCATAGCTATGTCTCGAGATCATGGTAGCAGTTATTAAATGTCTAAATTCAGCATATTGTCAACTGTACAACGTATACTCTGGTGACGGCGAATTACTAGAAGCGGTATAGCGTGCCTATTTGGGGAAAGCGCGCGATTGAGGCTTGGCATCGTGGTGCGTGGTCTATATATCTTCCTCCTTGCCCCCTCGAGATTACGGCCAACTTTCGTCGCTGTTTTCCCACCCTTTCGTGGTCTTCGGGCTCAAGACATTGAGGCATTTTTGCTATTGGTCTGTACATCCCGTGTTCTGCACTTCGCCACCTCCTTTTGCGCCCGTGAGTTGGCGCCCGTCGCGTCCCCCCAACTGTCCTTGATTTTCGCGAGAATGGAATTTCTGCCTGCCTAGGAGCTTAACTGACCATTGATTCTTATTCGATAGACAATGCGGCATGGATAACGAGAGAGCGCATAGAGTTGGTGCTATCGGACTATTCTTAGCGGACTAGCATACTTCCTCTCTCCTATAATTGGCGCCTTTTGAGAAACGGGTTTGACTACCATATCCGGGGCGTGCGATGCCAACGACGGCGATGGCCCAGGCTTCAGATCCGTCCCAGATGATTGGCCCACTCTCTTCGTTCGAGCTTGGTGCTGTGAACAGCAGGCCTTGCGATAAGATGTGCAAGTTGTTGGGAAGGCCTGTGAATGACCCGTACCACGAATTTATACCAGCGATGCTCGAAAGATACAATATTGACGCTGATTGGCGACAATATACGCTCTCTGTCGTTTGCGGGGACGAAGTACAGGATGTTCGGTTCAATGAGCAACCTTTGCTCCTGTTCAAGCGGCTCCAAGAGTTGGGTAAGAAACCCATGTTCATGCTACGCAAATCCTTAGCACGTTACAAGGACAGTCTGTCTTTATTCCACAGCATGGGCTAGACGATTTCACATATAGTGGAGGTAGTACACCTATCTCTAACAAGCAGGAGTGCAAAGGTCACACGGTGTTCGAAACTTTGGCGGAATACTACAGGTCGATGAAGCGATTCCTTCCCAACCTGGGCCAAGCTGGCATTCCGGCATCCGACTCACGGGAGAAGTTAGCCAAGCTTTCATACACCAATTGTCTGAACTCACCATGGCCGTGAGTGAAGAATTTTATCGGAGGCAAGGGGTCTCAGTGACCCAGGAGAATTGTGCGCTGTCACATCTAAAGGTTTCACCACTTCTCGAAGTCCAGGAAGAGCCTCACGAACGGCGCAACGAAGCCCGTAGCAAACTGCGCGCACTTGAATATCACCAACTGGAATATATAACTTCTAATGTTGTCCGTGAATTAGAGAGAAGGTTTCCTAACCCTACGACGAGGGATTTGTCCCCGCATGGATGCAATAATAGAATTTGAATACCGATAGGCGTATAGGCCCGAATTCAGATGGCTCAATAATCTAACCAGACGAACAAGGCTAAAAACTTATACAGGATAATCATTTTCTTGAATTGCTCTCAATGCCCGTAGCGCCAGTCAAGTGTGTGTTGTCCAGATCCTGCTGGATGAGTTGTTCGGATCCGGAAGCATGGCCGTTGAGGACGAGGTCCTGAAGCGTCGCATCGAGAGGGAGATTGGCTTACTGGCTTTATTGGGCGAGGACTCCGATTCGAGCGAGAAGACATCCGAGAAGCTGGAGCATTTGGATCATCGCGAGCGAGCTGAGCTGCCCAAGTCTGCGAGCTCGTAGTTGTTGTATTACTCTAGCAGAAGCATCATATGTTGATGTTTCGACCATCGCTTGAAATGGGGGCTGCACCTATACAACACTATGGTATACGTTTCGGCTCAGTGGAATGTAATAGACAATACAGATAGTCACAAACATTCAGCATTGTTCAGATGTTAATAATACGATCGTACCCTGTCAATGCTCCCGTTACACCTGAACATCATTCATTCATTTTGATTGAAACAACACCAGTATGTTTGGAATACACTCAATAGTCTTATATACCTCGCCAAGTAGAAACTTATTTTCAACTATCTCCTATCTCGAGTGCGCCGGATCTCTTCACTATCCGGTGACTGGACACTGTGTCTTGGTGGATAGCCTTAGGATAAAGAAAGAGATATTGCCGGTGAATCCGTGACGAATCCAAGTAACCAAGTATATGGAATAGGGATGCGTCTGAAGCACGGATAAATGGAGTGTATTTAGCCTGAATTCAACCATCAGGGAACTCGAGTTGTATCCGTTTACTATTGTGCCGAGGTATGTCCGATGAGCTTTAAGCACTTGCAAAGTGATTACCTGAGGCTTCGAGACGACCGCAAATAATATAAGTCTAGATGCTTTGTTGTCATATAGCTAGTCAATATTTATACGAGATAGACTGTATTTGAGAAAACGACGAGTGAGAGCGCCTATTGAACATTTCTCGTGAAGCTATGAAGTCGACTAGGGGTATCAGACATACAGAACATTTGAAAAGCGTAGCAACGTTTCTTTCAGCAACAGCAAATCCTCGTTAGACCCTCTCCGACCAGTAAACCCAAGCGTGGCAAATAAAGATGCTTCGAGCATAGCAGGAAGTTTTCCCGCGAATCAAACTTCATGGCAGCCATCGGCTCGCGATAACTCCGGAGTGTGATTGTCGATGATTGGCGTCTAACCACCCTCGTGACGAACCCGTACGCGCGAAGGGTAATGCCCGAATATGGAAAACATTTCTGGTTCGTCAGGACTCATGGTGTCCTCCTCACATGCTTGCATCAACTCAAAATCCACCATTGTTACAGCATTGGTTTCCGGGTCATACAAGACATTATGCATCCCGGAGTCGATAACAATGGTTGACGCTCGCCTGAGGACCTTGATAGCCTTGTAAATCTCTGAACGTATGTGCTCCTTGACGCTTGCAGAAAGTTGGTTCCATTGTTTGTCGAGCCGTTCCCCATCAACCTTTGTCATCACAATGATATAACCCTGGGGAAAGATCGAAGAGCAACAGATCTTGCCGATGCTTAGTAGTGAGGGGAAAAAATCGAAACCGGCTGGACGTTGCGCATGGATGTTCTCATACGTCCTCGCTTCGTCAGCAAACCTACAGAACAAAAGGATTAGCGATTGAGATACTATGCTACAAGGACACAGCAACAGACCGTTCGACTCGAGACGGTGACCAGCATTTCGCGATGGCCGGTTTTCCATCCCATGTGACTTCATAAATCGCCTTGGCGGAGGATTGCTGGATAATCCTCTTGCAATTTACGAACGTCGTTGCAAGACCGTCATCGGCCCCGTAAAGGATTGACGACGAGCCAAGCATGTCCGATATCTCCTCCTTGGTGCCGATTTGGTTCCGGAAAGCGGATGGACGGATGGACGCTTGGAGTGAAGGGCCCGTCGGAACGCCGAGCTAGGGTCTGATGTTAGGAGATTGCCGCTGTTATAACTGGAAAACTCACCTGGGCGATGTTGAAGTCAGGGGGTTCAATAAATTTCCAATCTTTGGAAGCCACTACACCTAGCGCCAAGAAGCATTGCCGGAGACTGGGGTTCGATGCGTCTCTTGCAATCGGTAACGATGTCAAAGTGGTAAGGAGCCGTTCTGCGAATGAAGACCGTCCACTCGTATGTCGACAAAAATCCAAACTTAAGCTTACTCGACCGCATGTACTTGACGAGTTGGGCTGAGGAACCGTTAACAGGGTCGTAAACAAGGTTCAACTGGACTTACCAATGTGATGCTGGATGCCGATTAACCGTTGATAGCCTTCGCGAATGGAATAGTCCTCAAGTTCAACTGTCCAGAAAGACTTGAGTTCTCCGACAGCCGCTGGGCGAGGTGGTCCCGTTGTGTTGAACATAGTGATATCAGGCACTTGACTCGTGTCCGTTGGCCCTGCAGAGGACTGATAATCACCGAACTTCAAGTGGGAGAGGCAAGTAGTGGCAAACACTTTCGAAACTGGGTCACAGACATTCTTGGAGAACCTTCCGGTCAAACCAAGTTCGCTTCCAACGACGTAGCTTTCTGACACATCATCCGTGTAAGGCACAGGATGGCTAAGATCTAAAGAATCGGATGCTTCGAGAACATCCTGTTTAAAGCTCTGCCATTCATGGAAAAACCGTAACGAGATAACCTCAGATGAGTTGGAGACATAATGCGTACTATTTATCTGGGTGAGGGGAGGGACGGGTCGCAGAATTACCTCCACCGCGGTCTCCATGACGGAAGCCCCGGAAAGTAAATCTGACATGGTCAGTGAAACGGCTGGTTCGTTGATAGGACGATGATGGGGACGGAAATTGAGGGAAAAGCGGGTGGTGGAGCAAGGGGAAAAGAGATGGGAGAAATATTATTGGTGGATGCGGAATGCACTAAGCGAATTGTGGAAAGAGCTGTGACGGCAGATGCGCTGTCTCTGATTTTGAGCTGATCGGTGGCCCCACCAAGTCATATGACAGTCATTTAGCTCAGATTGCTAAACGAAACTGTTCTAGTCAATATCGGCCTTCTTTATTTTGCTTCGAGCTATTGGAACTAAATGAGACTGCAAGCACTCTACTCGGATATATCAACGCGATATTAGAGTCTCCGAATATGTTAAGGAACGACATCTCAAGAAGGAAGAGGAAAGCCTCTTATATCCTATTATCCCCTCGTCCTTAATGCTCTGCTTCTGCTCCCTATAATCATGGTGTATGCGCCGGGCTCGTCTCAAAAGAAGTAAGTTGTGAATGGCGCTAGGACGAACTGAGTAAGGTCGACTAGTTCTTATAAAGCGGCGATACACAGCGTGTCCTTTCCGTCGTCACCCAGACTTACTCCGTACAATATACATGCTGTATCTTGAACAGTACCCTCCCAATATCTGGAGAGAAGAAGCTTCTAATAATCGCGTAGACAAGCCTTTATTCACAGATATCAACACCATCTAGTTCCTGATAGATAGCCCTTTTGATATCTTCCTCAGCCCAACACATATCAACCGCATTCCTCGCAAGCTGCACCATCTCCTTCCGACTACACCCACAATAAGTATAGACCTTCTGCAAATTCCCATCAATCCAAACATCATGCATCAAAGTCGGATCATCACTATTAATACAGACCTTGACCCCCCTATCCACCAACCTGCGAATCTTGGGAAACAAAACCTCAGTGGCCGTCCTCCGATGATAAGCATGCGGACACAAAGTCAACCCAATACCCCTATCCACCAACCCACGCCACAACTCCTCACAATCTTCCGCATCCAACCCATGATCAATCCTCTCCGCTCCCCTGCCCCCACAAACCTCAAAAATAGCCTCAGCCACATGCTCCCGCGTATCCTTCTGCCCAAAATCACAGTGCATAGTAACATGCAATCCATCCGCGCGCGCCAACGCAAACCCCTCCTCAAAAAGCATCGGCGGTCTCTCGTACGCATTACTCGCTAACCCAACAGCATGGAACAGCCCCTTCCCACCATCAACAGTCCCAGCAGCCCACGGCCTCGCCTCACGGTAAGCATCCAGACCCTGCTCCACAGGCTCGTCGCGCAAGAAGCACAGAATCCAGCGCGAATGAACACCCAGCTGGGCGGCGGCATCGTGTTGCGCGCGCAGATAGCCGTCCATAACGGCTGCCGCGGGGACGCCCCGGCGTGTGTGTGCCTGGATGTCGAAGAAGGGTTCGGTGTAGCGCACATTCATGGATGCGCACCGGCGTAGGTAGGCCATGGCTAGATCGTAGAAGTCGGTTTCTGTGCGGAGAACTTCGCATCCGGCGAAATAGGCTTCGAGGAAAGTTGGGATGCCTGGCTGGCGGCCGTTTAGCTCGGGTCGGTGATTTAGGGTTACTGCGTAGGAGGCTTGCAGGTCGGAGAAGGTGGCGTAGGGGAGGGGGATATTGTTGCGGTGGGATAGTTCCCAGCGGAGAGAGGGTGTTAGGGTGCCTTCGATATGGACGTGGAGTTCGACTTTGGGGAGATTGGCTATGAACGGGGTGATTGTGAGGCCGTTCATGTTTACTGCCCAGGTGGGGTCTCACCACTTCGGCGAGATAAAATAGAAATTCTTCGTAGCTAGACGGTAATATGTCGAGATTCGGAGTCGGGGTATGGAGTAAAAGAAGAGCCCCGAGAAATTACTCCGCACTCCATACTCACCACGGTATCACAAGCTCCAGCCCTAAAAGACTTAGCTTCGTCCTCGTCCAATTGGCACTCGAAAGATTCCTACATAAGCGATAAGGTGCAGGAGTTGGACCAATGGGAGGTGCGGGGAAAGATAAGGGGCATATGACTCTGTCAATAAGACGACTTCAAATTCTTAAATGAGATGCTCAGCATTTTTTTTACTTGAAATGGCCACGGACACAACTACCCCCGAGGGAGAACAGTGGACGGACCACGCTATGGCGAAAAGAGTACTGAGCAAGATTGACAGACGACTGATACCACTGCTTTTCACAACATACATGTTTAATTTTATGGATAAAACAATCTTGTCCAGCGCGTCTGTCTTCGGGCTGAGGGACGATACTGTAAGAACATGTCCAGAGAAATAAGAACCATAACTAATATCATTTCTAGGGATTGGTTGGCCAGCAGTACAGCTGGGTATCATCGATCTTCTACTTTGGCTACCTGGGATGGGTATATCCAACGACCTTGCTTATTGCTCGTCTGCCCGCCGCCAAATACTTGACGGCCAACACGCTATTCTGGGGTGCTGTGGTGGCTCTTACTGCAGCCTGCACCAACTTTGGCGGGCTCCTAGCAGTTCGATTCTTGCTTGGAGTTGCTGAAGCGACGATCACGCCGGCGTTTATGTTTATCACATCAACCTGGTACACGCGTGACGAGATTCCTACCAGGACAGGCCTGTGGTTTGCTGGGAACGTATGTTGTTTCCTGTCGATATTTTGGATAAAGGCTCATCTTTATACAGAGTGTTGGTGGTATTATTTCAAGTCTCCTCGCCTATGGGCTGGGTCACATCAAAGATCAAGTTGGGCCATGGAGGTGGATGTTCATTGTCCTCGGCTGTGGGACATTCCTCTGGGGATTCGCCGTCTGGACTCTACTACCAGACTCAATCTCCAAGGCCAAATTTCTATCCGAAGAGGAACGGCAGTTCGCAAGAAACAGAGCTGTCGTAGCGGGCACAGGTGCAACAGAGAAGACCACCTGGAGATGGGACCAGGTCGTTGAATGCCTGATGGATCCGAAGACGTGGCTTATATTCGGGCTGCAGCTCTGTACACAGATCCCCAACGGAGGGACGCAGAACTTTGCCAATCTGGTTATTGTCTCTTTCGGGTTCACGAACCTGCAATCGACGCTACTCACCATCCCTTACTCGCTCATCACCGTGGCTACAATCACCGGAACGGGCTGGCTGGCCGGTCGTTTCCGCCAACTGAACTGCTTACTTATCGTAGCCGTTGTGCTCCCTTGCGTCGTCGGCAGCGCGGTCATCTACTCCCGCGCGCATGTCGTCTTGGGGGTGCAATTCTTTGGATATTTCCTCTTATCGACTGGACCTGCAGCAATGCCACTTGCTATGTCGCTAGTGCAGGCCAATTACCGTGGAGTCACCAAGAAAATGACAGTCACTGCAATGCTCTTCCTGGCTTATTGCGCTGGGAACATTTCTGGGCCTCAGTTCTTTCTCAGTGTGGAGGCGCCGACTTATAACACTGCTTTCCGCACGATTATGATTTGCTACGCCCTGGCTGTCATCTTGGCGCTGGTTCTGCGCTTCTACCTGCAGTGGACTAATGCTCGCCGTGCGCGTCTAGAGGGCTTTGAGGGTAGTGCTGGGAATGCGGGTGCTGTTGGTGGGAAGGGGCTGGATGCTGATCGCAATTCGAATGTGGCGGATATGGTGAACCGAGTGCAGTTGGTATCGGATGACTATGAGGATATCACTGACTGGAAGGTACCGGGATTCAGATATCGTTACTAAAAAGGCATGACGGAAGTTCAAATGTGGACGTACTGGCCAGTTTCTGAGATAAACTCAGGCTAATCAGTCAGATTTATCATGTTTTACTATGTAGTTGAACAAAACTGAGTCTCGTCTATTCCTCAATCACTTCTATCACGGCAAGTAATCATACACATCTCCAAATTATGTCTCCAGCCAAAGCCACAAGATCAAGACCGAGACTTCTCAGTACTCTGCTTTGGTCTCAACACATAACGCCACGTAGTCCCCAGATGCCAACGCTTCTCCTCCACAATCTCCAACCCGCTCTCACGCACAATATCCTCAATATCACGGTTCCACCAACAACCATGCCGATCCGCATGAGCCGGAGCAAGATTATCCAAAATCCGATTAAGCCAACCATAATAAGAACGCCCATGCTCGAGCAACAAGATCCGCCCACTCGCAGGCTCCGTAACAGATCCCAGATGTCGCAACGTAGCAACCGGATCCGGCATCGAGCAAAGACCCATAGTCTGCACAACGGTATCAAAGTAAACCGGCGACTCGCCCTTTACCCCAGAACGCCCGATATCAGACGGCTCAACCTTGCCCGCATCACAAGCCTGAAACACCGCCGGGAACGCAGGATACAGTTTCTCGAACTTCTTCTTCGTGATAGCCACCATCTGGGGACTAAGATCAACAAACGTAACCGAACGACAACCCAAAACCGCAGCGTGGCCATCGGCATCCAACCCGCGACGCTCGCCGAGCTCGTAGAATGGCAGATTGCGCCCTGTGCCGCAGCTAACTTCGAGTACGTGCCCCCGTGCTTGTCGGACTAGATCCCGCCGCTTCTTGCCGAGCCCCATTGCCTTTTCGGAGAGCTCGACGTCTGCGTCGAAAGTTGCGGCTGTCGTGTTGTAGCGGTCTGAGACATCGCGTGGCACGTTGAGAGTTTGTGCTTTGCTTACTTCGCGCGTGTACGACGCGTATAGGTAGCCGCAGTACGTGCTGATGGTGAGTGCTGAGATGCCTAGGAAGGTTAGGGCTCTGGGTGGGATGCCATGGCCTCGTTTCGCTATGGTTTCAGCATTGGGGGTTTCGGATTGAGTGCTCCGCGGGCTTTGGCGCTCTTGGTGATGTTGGCGAGGCGAAGTTGCTTGTCGCCGTTTTGTAGCCACTGGCTTGGGGCTTTTCGGAATGGGGAAGATATTAGTTTGAATGTGTGATTGAAAAGCTTGGGGTTACATACCTCGGCTTCGGGGGTCGAGGTGCTTTGCTTGATGCGCTGCGGCAGGGTGTGACTGGCCACTTTGCAACTAATGGCACT